AAGCTATGGCTGACCTTGCTGGCTACGGTCTGGCATTCGTGGCTCATGTTCATCTTGGAGTTGGTAATGACTCAAAGATCCCTTTCCGCCTCTGTGCCTTCAAGAAAGGAACTCCCCAGCCTGTATGTATGCTGTGGATTCCTTCTCCCAAGGTGCAGCACCCTGCATTTATCTATGTTGAACCCCATCCTATTCTCATCTGCCCACTTTTGTAGTCTAAATTTATTTGCAGCCTCTCTCTCAAGTGTGTCCACCTCACCCATCTTAGTGTCATCAGCAAATTTGGACAGCGTGCTTTCCACCCCCTCGTCCAAGTCGCTGATGAAGATGTTAAACAGTGTGGGCCCGAGGACCGAGCCCTGGGGTACCCCACTGCTCACATCTCGCCAGGCTGAGTACAACCCGTCTACCACTACTCTCTGGGTGCGCCCCATCAGCCAATGTTTTACCCATCCAACTGTGTAGGCACCAATGCCACAGTTGCTTAATTTATTGATGAGGATGGGGTGAGAGACAGTGTCAAAGGCCTTCTTAAAGTCTAGAAAGACTACGTCCACAGCGACACCATCATCCAAGGATTTAGTTATTTGGTCATAAAAGGTAATCAGGTTGGTCAGGCAGGACCTGCCTTTGATGAACCCATGTTGATTGCCCCTAAGCATGATCTTCCCTGCAGGCCCCCCACAGATGTGCTCCTTGATGATTATCTCCAAGATCTTCCCGAGCACTGAGGTGAGGCTTAAATCAATGCAGATGAACTCTTCTTAGCACTAAAAAGAACAAGTAAACAACCCAAACAGTAAAGCTGGTATGGGATTCTCTGAGACTTAAGTTCTTGTACCACATCTCATTGGCAGTCCTTTGATGCAAGTTCTTTGAGGCAGCCTTCCAGGAAATGAAGCCATTGGTGAGTCTGTAGATGATAGAGGCAGCTGATATGAGATCTGCATTGCATGTTTGACTGCAGATGTGGCAAATATTTTCAGGAAGCAGTAGATCCTGGTAATGCTGAATGACAGTTTTTTCCCTTGGTATCTCTCACCTATCTGCCTCCACAGTGAAGTAAGTTTACTTGAAATGACTGATGCCTTGTACATCACAGTGCTGTTGGGGACAATTCAATGCTAGAGTCTTCCAGGTGATGTTAATATTACATTTCTTCAGATTGGCCTTCAAGACTTCTTTGAATTTCTTTTTTTTTGCACACCTCTAGAGCAGTGATCATCAGTGAGTTGGGAGTACATGACCTGTTTCAGAAGCTGGTTATCAGGTTTCCTTATGACATGTCCTGTCCAACACAGCTGGTGCTGTATAAATATAGATTCAATTCTGGTGGTGGTTGCTTAAGCCAGAATGCTGGGATTTATTCTTCTGTCCTTCAAACTGATATGACAGATTTTGCAAAGACTTCACTAATGGTGATGTTCCAAAGCTTTCAGGCATTTCCAATACACTGTCCAAGTTTCATGCCCATACAGTGAGGTAGGGATCACAACAGCTTGGTAGACCAGAAGTTTGGTTTGGGTCCTGATCATTGAAGACATGATTTAATAAATGTCCAAAGGCAGCACTAGCAGATTTTATCTGTTGGTGAATACTATTTATTGTCTATGTTTATTTTTTGGGAAAGGTGGCTAGGCAGGAAGGGAAAACACTCAACATTCTCCAAGAATTGTCCTCTAATTATAATATGTGGATGAGCAGCTGGCTGGTTTGGGGTGGGTTAGTGAAGTACTCTACAGCTAGTAAAGTAGTAACTGGTTACTGGTAATTTATTAAAAGTTAATGAGGTTTTCTTGAATAAAATAATCTAAAATGGCTTAAATGACAAAACATTTCTTTACCACCCAGAACCACATGTAGGAAAGAAACGTCAAGTAAAACAATTTTTTAGCTTTTCATAAATAGAGCTATATCCTGCTTTGTGGGAAACTGCATGATCCTTGCCACCAAAGAAGATGGTTCTATTGTTCTTGAAGAATAGATTTAAAAGAAATTAAAGTGCTAGACAGGGGGAGCCAACCCGCAGCTCTTCAGAAGTTAATATACATCTCCTTGAATCATTGCACAAGCACACAGTGACCAGTTTCAGTTTGGCAGCTGGTCACCGTGTGCTTGTGCAAAGATTTAAGGAGACACATATGAACTTCTGAAGAGCCGCATGTGGTTCTGGAGCTGCAGGTTGGCCACCCCTGTGCTAGAAGGTCGAGTGATCTTCAGGAGCCAATGACACATAGGAAAAACAAAGGGTTCTTCAGCAGCCAGTTTTGCTGAAGATGCAAGTTACTATATTCTGCACTGGTTGCTGGTTTTTTCAAGCTGGATATTTTCAAACTTTTCCTTTTGCATTCCAATAGTCCAATCGGGATTTAAGAAAGTATGTCCAAAGTCATCAATCTGAGAAAATGGGCTGCATTCCCATAGCTAGCCATAGTGGTAGAAGGCTTTTTTTTTTTTTTTTTTTTTTTACATCCAAGGCTATGAAGATCTAGTGTCAGGGAAGAATGTAGCCTCAGCAACCATATACAGATATTGAATAGGACAGGAAAGGGAAAGGAACTGTTCTGTATTCTACAGCTAGCAGCACTGGTGGCAGAATAGTAGTTACACACTAACCACAATCCTCTAGATATGGACTTACAAGCAGGGAAGTTCTGATGCTAGTTCTGATTCTGCCAGCAGTGGTGATGAACTGTTCCAAGTGCGCAGTTATTTCGTTCTCTGAAGGACTGGAGTATACAGATCCTGTTGAAACCTGTAGTTCTGGTATGATGTAGGTTTAAGAGTATTTTCTGCCTGATTTGCTTTGCATCAATCTTTCAGGCTGATCTTCCAGATGCTCAAATTAAATGGAACACAGATGGCAAAGATGATAAAATGAACCTGATGCACTGTAGGTACTACTAAAAACAAGCATCACTGGGGCTGCAAGAAAAACTTCAGCATAGTCTGACCATGCTGGCAAACACTTTGCAACAGTATACCTTCATAACCAAACACCTGCCATCAATTGGTACTAATCTATGCTCTTCTTGTAAATTTTCATCCTCCATCCTGCCCCCCTCCTCTCCCCATCACACCAGACAGAAAACAAGTGCAGCTGACCAAACATTCTGTGTCACTTCTTCTACATATGCTGACCACAGAAGCAAAACCAATGTAGTCTCCATGGGTGCTCTCTCTCCAATTCTGCTCTCAAATGCATGAAAACAGAGAAGTCAGCAAGATATCCCTTGCCATACTCCCTTCACCTCAAACTCTTTCATGTTCCAGAAGCATTATTACTTAACGTGGGATGGAAAAGTTTGAAAGAACTTGACTCAAATGTATTATGAAGGACAGAAGACAACACATTGGTACTGCAGTTTCTTTATAGGCAAAAAGAAAACATCACTTGGTGGACTGAAAGTCCTGCTAACTACTTTTGCAACAAAATGAGATACAAACTTTTGAAGGAAGGTTTCACTGATATCCCTAAGGGTCTTCTGCTTCCTTGGTAACGATAGCTTTCTTATTGGCAATACCAACATTAGGACAGTTCAAAGAGAATACTCTGCAATATTTGAAAAAAGAATGTAAACGCTGTTGTATAATGGAATGTATACATGGATACATTTGTTACATTCTGGTGTAAAAGGACTGCATTCAAGAAGTTTTATTTTCTTGTATTTAAAAATTGAGGACACAACATCATTTCTGTTACGCACACTGAAAAGACATTTCAATCATGTATAATTAATAAAACTGAGAAATTTTCCATAAATGGAAATATATTATAACTATACAAAATATGGATCTTCTGTAAGGTACCAAAGGCCTTATGAGTACTGATTGCCTAATGAACTTAGAAGCAATTTGTAATATAATCATCACCAGAAAACAACAAAAGGAATGCAGAAGAACCCTTCAGGATTTTACTTTAACTACAGATGTACAGAAATTTTTCAATCATTCACCATTAACTCAAACAAAATTCTTCAGACAATCTTCTGCCTCTTTTCCTACAACTCCTAACAGAAGCTCTTGTTAGAAGAGCCAAAAGGAAAAAAGTGATATATTCAATTTGTTCATTGGTACATCTGTGATGCTGGTGTGTGTGGTGACACAAACAACAACTCCTACAGCATTCTTCCCATTATGGACAACTTATCCATCTTTTAGATCAAGAAAAGTTGATTTTGCAAGGGAACTGATGAGAAGCCATGTTAACTCCACAACACAATGTAACCAAAAGGGAATTTCTGTACTCCCGTTCAGATGGCTTCCCATTTCTTGGTTTTATGCCAGTATTTTAGGCTAAGAATATTTTTCACACCTTATATTACTACTTGCAGTATTTCAGTATTCCAGAATAAAATTAAAATGCAAAAGCAGCAAGAGAAATGTAAAAGTCAGAAAGAACTTTAAAAAGCAGATTCCTTCCAAGCTGAAAGAAAAGATATACAATTATTAGAAACTGATAAGGACCAAAGGCCTGAAAAAGAGGTGATTCCCAAAAGGAGGGCAGATGATAAACCTCCTGGAGGCCAAAGCCATGGCATACTCTGGAATACAAGAATGATGTTACTTCCAAATGATGACGAATTTTAACGTTTGCCAACACACAAAGACAGACCATATCCAAAATGTAAAACAAACGCCAAGAAAAAGGCCCACGCTGTTTGGTTCACAAAGCTCATTGGGTTTATAGTGAAAGTTTATTAATCTGCTTCCTACTACAATAAGCTACAAGGTACATACAGTATAAAACGAGAACGGCCACAAAGCAAAGGTGAAAGACATTCTGTGACAGTACAGTGGAGGAAACATTGTCTAATCCTTCCACCCTACCCCATGCATAGCAGCTAAAACTACTGACCCACCCCTCCCCCCCTCCAAAAAATATTAAAAAGAAAACTGTCTCTCTCGCTTAAGTACAGCGGGAATTTGTTTTTTGGGGTCACCAGTAATCATTGCCAACATTTCAAGAAACTTGCAGAAACTAAAGTAATGAAAGAAACTAAAACAATTGTGAAGGTGGGAGTGACAAAATCCACACAGGATGCCCAGGTCACTCCTTGTTTAGTTCTCCTCAAAGCAAATGGCCTGTAAAGAAAAGAAAAGTCTGTTACACCTAGCAGTGTAGTAAATAAAATGGTCTGAGTTCAAATACAATATTTAAAACTCAGACTTAGAAGAACTAGGCACACAGTTGACAGAAATTGTCTGGTTTTCTTCATAATGTACCCTTAGATTTATTACTGACAATACTTGGAGTTCTTGAAGACTGGTGCCTTCTTTCCCTCAATCTTTAGATCCACATAGAAGATTATACATCAAGCAATTGTACACAATTGACAAATCTATGAATTATACAAGGCTTGAAACAAAAATATCTGGAGAGACCCTAGCAACATGTGTCCTTTAGCCTTACTTTCACCTTTCAAAAATCAACAATTCTGTAAAAAAACTGAACACTTACCTTAAAGGTACAAAAAATCCAGTTAATAACTGCCTCAAATATATTTGGTGCGGTTGAGGGCTCTTTCAGCAAGATGACCACTTTCATCTGTAATCTTCTCCCAATCTGTTTGTCCAACCACAAATCCAATGGCCCTCTTCCTATCTGCATCCTTCTTTTCTTCTAGGTCTGCCCAACGCACCTATAAGAAACATATTGTCAGCAGGGCAACCCCTGAAGAAACAACACTGTGATAACTACTAGAGCTCCCCCAATCAGACTAGAGTACAAGGAAAATTCTAACCTCCAAGCAACTGTTTTATAAGAGTACACTGAAAAAGTATCTTGGTTGATACTGATAGCCTATTATTAACCAGCCATATCAGCCGACACTGATCTAATAACCGATTTACAGGAGTGCAGGCAGGCAGTGTGAAGAGCAGCACCCTGTAGTTAAGACTGTGGAGGGGCATGGGCATGAGGGAGGGAAGGGGCATGGGGGGGTAGGGGGAGCCAGAGTGAGGCAGGGAAGGAGTGGGGCAGGGGCTGGTGTTTGGGGTGTTGCCCAGCCAGGGCAGTAAATGGGACCTGGGGCCAGGGCAGGTGGTAAATGGGACCTGGGGCTGGCGCAGATGGCTTGTCCAGGGAATCAGCGTCCAGGCACTTAAAAATGGCAGCGAGGGTACTTGAACTAAAGCTTGTCAAATAAGCTTTGGGTCAAGCACTGCAGCAATCCTTTTTAAGCGCACAGATACTTTTAACCGGAGTGGAGCTGAGCGGGGCAAAGGCAGATGCAGGTTGCTCGCTGTGGGCTCTGCCCTGCTGCCCGCTGCCTTTGCCCTGGGGGTCCTGCATCGGCCATGGGTCCCCAGCCTGACAGCGAAGGGCACAACTCGCTGCCCCCACTGCTGCTGGGTAGGGGACGCATGGCTGATACAGAGACCCCAGGGCAAAGGCATCAGAGTGGAAAGCCCTGAGAGACCACAGTGGGCAGCCTGCATCCACCCGCATGCACGCACGCATGCACCATACCTCCCCCAGGTTGTGCAGCAGTGGGGAGCTGCCTCCCCACTTCCACTGAGCCCCCTGGACAAGCCACCCACAGCTCCATCCTGTTCCCTGCCCTGACCCCAGGTTCCATTCACCAACCTGGCTGGGCAGCACCCTCAGCCTCTGCCCCACTCCCTCCCTCACCACGGGGGCCTCGATCTACACTCCCATGCCTCTTCCCCTCCACAGATTTACCTGCAAGGCACTGCTCTCCACACTGCCTGGCTGCATTCCTAGCTGTGGGCACGTGTGTGGTTGTGCGCATGCATGTGGCTTCCGGAGGCCCCATCCAGAAGGTATACTACACTTATCAGCTACACTGGCCAAAAAAAGCCCATAGCTGATAATGTTAATTTTCCTTTTATGGGTGCTGATATGATATGGCACCAATATATCAGTGCACCTCTACTATTTTAATCCTCAGATTTAAGACTTAACCATTTTCTCAAGGGAAAAGATAGAAGTTACATAAACTGAGTCATTTAAAAGCGAAGGCCCTGAACATACCACGGAGTAGAGAACATGGATTAGGACAGGAGTAGCCAAACTGTGACAAATGACACAAGGGGCACAGGCAGCCACTGTGTGTGGCACATGGCAGATTGGGGAGGGGACAGACAAAAAACAGAGCTGCAGATCTGGCAGAGAGCATATCACAGGAGGCAGAAACTAGAGCAGCATATCAGGCAGGGAAGCGGAGTGGAATGGCACTTTAGGAGGGTGCAGGACAAATTTGTGGCACATCTGCTAAAAATGCTGGCTACCAATGGACTAGATCAGGGGTTCTTAAACTTTTTGATACAGTGACAAGGGGGTTGCAAGCTTCTCTTCCCTCCCTAGAAGTGGCAGTGCAGGGGGTAGGGCTGCCCAAGTCTGGCCGGTTGACGAGTGGGGAGCAAGGGGGGCCCTAGCGGCCAGCCGGCTGGACTTGGGTGTGGAGAAGTGGCGTGGAGTTGGCAGCGGCAGCACGGAGTGCTCAATGGCAGCAGTGTCCCCGCCCATCATGCCACCCCTTTTAAGTAGGGAAGAGAATTTGCAACCTCCTTTTAAGTTGCTGGGGTGCTGCGACCCACAGTTTGAGAACCCCTGGAATAGATGATTATGCTTTTACCACTTTAACACCTAAAATTCTGTTATTCAGAGCATCGTGTCCTTTTATTCCTTTATTTAAAACGGGAAAGAAGAATATGACTGGATGCTAGTCCTCAAAGAAAAAGCAAGAGGAAGACAAAACACTATCGAAAGGCATTATTCTGTATGGCAGGATTAGGGGATCCTGGAAGAAAGCCACAATGGACAATAATGCTTTTGCAAGAAAGAGTTACAACATATTTATTATTTCTTGATCCCCTCTACATATGCAGGTCAAGGCACAATTGGATCTAATGCATGATCCACAAAATCGGCCCACTGCCACACTACGTGCATGGCAGGAGGCACGATTGTTGTTGGACTGAGCATTAGATCCAATTGCACCTTATTGATGGTGCAGGGGGAGCCTGATTCTGGGCTCCCCCTGTATCAGCAAGAAGCAGGCTCCCAACTGCTTGCATTTTCCCAACTGCAAACTGCCTGCCTGTGCAAATTAAAACTGGACAAAAATCAGCTATAAAGTTATTACATATTTTCAAGCAACACTTTTACAGCTGCTTGAACCTTTTTAAGGCATGAAAATTAAATTTGCAAGTGTAACCAGTCTAAATTAATTGCACAATTAACAAGGTAATTGCGCAATAGATATAACATGTAGAGGAGGCCTTAGTGTTTGTCACTGGAGTACAAAAAACTTTTGTTTCTGTCTGAAATATAGTGACAGCCATCACAATATCATATATAATCTTTTTCTCTTTGTTTCCCTTAATTACATACTGAAAACATTTAAAACCAGACTGGACAAAATACAAGGAACAATTCTGTGCTAAATGAGGCAACTGGTCTTTTCTATCTCTGACTTCTGTGATATCTTTCTGGATGAACCTTTTTACTAAGTCATTTAAGTCACTAAACCTATGGACAAAGTTAAACACTTTAGAAAGCGAGAAAGATCTGCCAGTCAGGAACCAGCACAAGCTCTTACATTGTAATTGAAACATTTGCATGCTCCTGTAGTGATGCAAATGAGCTAAATCACTGTATAAAACCAGATTCAATTTGCAATTACTTGTATTACTACAGGAATGTACAGCTATAATAATTTCATTGAACCAACTTATAATTATACCTCGTTTCAGGAGTGGGCAAAATACAGCCCAAGGGCTGGATCTGGCAGCCCAACCGATCGGATCCAGCCTGAGGGCAGGTGCCTGCCAACTTACTGGATCCAGCCCATGGAAGTTCCTACGGCGCTCCTGCCCAGGGCACCCTGCGTCAGGCTCCCACCCACACCTGCTGAGGGCCCTGGCCCTGTCAGTGCATACCTCTTCCCAGAGGGGCTGCTCCTTGTGAGGCTTCAGCCACCCAGATACTACTTGGCTCCTCTCTGCCTCCAGCAGCTCCTCCTCCTCCTCTGTCCCTGCTACACTGCTCCAGGTGGTGGGGGGGGCAGAGAGGCAACTCCTGCACTAGCTCATAGGGCACCACCTTCTGGCCGCTCACAATTGCACCAGTTCGGTGGAGTGGGTGGCCAGAAGCTGGAATCCCACTTGCTGGGGCAGGAGCCGCCCAGCCGCAGCTTCTCTCCTGCATGAAGCAGTGCAGCAGGGACAGGAGGAGGAGGAGCCGCTGGAGGCAGGAGGATCCAAGAAGCACCTGGGTGGCTGCAAACCCACTGGAAAGATGTGTGTGCTGGCCAGGGCTGGCAGGTGCACAGGCAGAAGTGCAGCTGGGGCTCAGCTCCATGTGGAAGGGAAGTGGGAGGGGGTGGACCGCACCTGCAACTGAACTGTCTGAGTAAGCTCTGCTGTATGCACCCCTTACCTCCCTCTCCTTCCCACCACCTCCAGTGGGCTCCAAAAGACCTAGTGCCCAGGCAGCCTCCCCCGCCCCGGACACCTCATTCCCCCACATACTCCCTCCCACCCCATACAATCTATAAGAGTAAGATTATTTTGAGCTATGATGCAAATCGCCTCTCAAAAAAACGTGGACAAAAATATTTTTTGAAATAAAATTAAAACATGTTATAGCAGACATAGTTTTTAGTATACGATTCATTTTTATCTATTATTTGTTAAAATCATATCTTCTGAAAGATTGAGTGCAAGCAGCTCTCAACAGCTCACCAAAACTCACTGAGTGGCCCTCCAGCCAAAATAATTGCCCACCCCTGCTTTATCTATACACTTTTGATGCCTGTCTATATTCTCAAAGTGCTAAATTCCTCATTCATATACTTGTTACTGCCTTCATAAATGCAGTTTCCTTTAAGCCATTAAGTTACTCATATCCCTCATCTCCGACCTGTTTAGACTTCTGCGGGTGCATGCATGCAAATATTGAATAGGGGAGACAAAGGCAACTAATGGTTTTGTAACCATGGGACCTAGTAGGAAAGTCAGGATATCACAGGTACAGCGGCCGCATGGGAAGGAGTGCTTTCCTACCTCCTGATGACTTATTATTGGCCTGTAATTCCAGTATATTCAGTTCTCCAGATGGAGCCACTAGCTCAAGACATTTCAATTCTATTAGCCCAGTACAAAAGGAACAGTTTTTACCATTTATTTCCATACCAACTGATTTTCATAAAACGGTTGTTTTATAAAATTAAAATGTGATTAATAAACTTAAAAATTATTACCATGTAAAATACAGTAGAGACCCTATTTGGGATGGTATGAGGGAACTAGTGAGGTTGTAGGACAAGGAGACCTGTTAACCATCAGTACTCTCTCCCACCACAATATTCATTCACATACACCAGGGGTGGCCAAACTTCCTAACTCTTCTTGCCACAATGCAAATTCTTGACAAGTTTCAGGATGCAAACTTGAGACTTAAGAATAACTGAGATGCACCAAGGGCCCTAGGTTCAAGTAGTTTGTCATTAAATGACTTATTGGAATAAATGAGCAAGAAGTGAATAAAGTCAAATAAAGAAAATAACAATACACAGAATCATAGAAAATGAGGGTTGGAAGGGACCTCAGGAGCTCATCTAGTCCAACCCTCTGCTCAGAGCAGGACCATCCCCCAACTAGATTATCCCAGGCAAAGCTCTGTCTAACAAGGTCTTAAATTCCTCCAACAATGGAGATTCTACAACCTCGCTGGGTAGCATGTTTCAGTGCTTTACTACCCTCCTAGTGAGAAAGTTTTTCCTAATATCTAACCTAAATTCCCCTTGCTGCAACTTGAGGCCATTGCTTCTTATTCTGTCATCTGCCATCACTGAGAACAGTCTAGCTCCATTCCCTTTGTAACCATCCTTCAGGTAGTTGAAGGCTGTTATTAAATCCCCACCTCAGTCTTCTCTTCTCCAGACTAAGGAACCAAGTAAGTAAAGTGATAGAGAAAAAATATGTTTTTATTGAACTACTACTCTTTCTCTAGGATCCACATTTAAATTGCCCGACAGCCACATGCAGATCATGAGCCATGGTTTGGCCACTCCTGATGTATTAAGATCTCTTAAAGTCCCAGGAGTCGATGGTCCATTGCAACCAAACTGCGCTCTTTCAAACCATAGAAAACTCACAAGGTGAAATCTGTGGTCCTCTCTTCTGAACTGATTTCTCCTTTGACTTACTGTGTACAGATCCTTTTGCCCATCACCCATCTTCTAACCCCTCCCTAATTCAAAAGCTCCAAATTATTTAATGTCTTTTCACTACCCATCAACTACTGCTATCCTCCCCATCACGTTCTTGCTCTCCTGCCCAAGATTCCATACCTCCAATTCTCCCATATTAAAACTCCCCCTGCAACTCACTCACTCACTCACTCACATCTCAACACTCTTCCAAAAAATTAGTTTCCCTAAAACAAAGGTTGATATGGAAATGCAACTGGAAATGCAACTGAGCAACATGGTCATTAGTATTAAGGCAGAGATTCTCAACTGTTTCAGAGCCAGGCCACACCCTCAATAACTTCTGAATGCAGTGGCACCCTCAGTTGAGGACCACTAAAGTGCTCAACTTACCTCAGTGGGTCTCAACAAGGTGTTGCTGCTGCCACAAGCTAAAACTACTTTGTGCATCTTTTCCACAGCCAGACCAGGAAGGACTGTGGCATGTGTGCACACTCCTCCTGCATTAGGGTTCTTTGATAACCCAACAGCAGACAGGATAGCTGGCTTATGTTGCAGTCCTTCCGGGTCCAACCTCACATGGCATCTCCTGGAAACAGAGGTAAGTGGGACAAGGGAGGAGAAGAGGCAAACTGGGAATGGCTACAGCACAAACAAACTCTTCTGCCTGCTTTGGCGGGATCAAAGAACCTTAATGCAGGAGGAGCGTGCATGCATGCCACAGACCTGCATTTAAGGCAGTTTTACATGGCTGCCACAGTGGTAGTGGCAGTAGCTCCTCCAGTACAGCATTCCTGAGTTGTCTTGTGGCACCCCAGGGTGCCTCAACAACCCAGCTGAGAATCACTGCATTAAAGATATCTGTCACCAGGAAGTCTAATGTTAATACCCAAACCAACCTCAATTTATACCGCACAACTCCAAACTAACTACCACCTCAAAAGCAAACAACTTTCCAGTGTTAACACATAACCAAACAATAATGTGACCATCCCATTTTTCCCATCCCTTCTGAAACGCCCTAACTGTAGTCTCATATTATTCTAGTGCAGGAGGACTCAGCAGCTGTGTAGCCTGCAAGCTATTCTTAAGCCTCCCGCTTTTCCACTCCAATTTGTCCTGGAGCACTATGGGACTCTGAAGGACCTATGGATCTTCTGTGTTTGTGCACAAGTAACAGAAACTGAAATGCTTTAAAACAGTATTTTTTCCCCAAGGGGTACTATTTTGGAGTGCTTCAGCTGCTTTGAGGACATTTCAAAGTCCATTTACTCTTGTACAGGTGGCTCTTTGAAGTGCTTCAAAGATGCTTGAAATATTTAATTTGTTACTTCACCCTTAAACTGAACCTTTCTGAATTTTTAAAAACTCTGTGCGGTTTCTTCCAAAGCCTAAATTATAAAAATATTAGACAAACCTTAACAGAACAAATGTACTAGTCTCCTCCATCACAACCCTAACTATTTATCAAAACCTTTGATCCTCCATAAAGCATACATAAAACACAGAACATTCACCCTCCATTGTGAATTCTCCTAAAAAATGTGAATTTTTAGTCTCTCTCTTTGTGCTCAAATTCTATGACACACACTATTAATCTTTGCAGTTTTCAATGCCTTTTTTATCATGCCAAATCTACATGCCTAGAAGACCTTGTTCTCAAGAACATTCTGATACAGTCTAATGGCATAGCAAATGAATGCAAGGAGTCTCTGGCAGTATTATATTCAGGGAAAATTAATAAACGGTAAAGGCTGTGTTCCATGAAGATTGACAAATCAGTCCATTAGAAAGATGAAGCCACTATTGGAATTTATTACCCTCTTTTTGCCAGGTTCAGAAGCACGGGTGTCATAATCATCTGGAAGCTGAAGATAATCCTCCATTCTGCTGGCAATTGCTTCCCAGTCACGTTTCCTCTTAGCGCCAGTCCGCAAGCCATCCAGCTTGTCTGAGAACAAACATAGAGCCTCAGGGTTAAGAGAGAAAATTTGTGTAATAGTGACACAAACAAGATGAGAGAGGGAACACTTTCTGTATCTCAGAGCAGCAGAACTGGCACATCCAAGTTATCTTGATGGGTGAATGATCAGAGGTGAAAAACTAGAGAAGACTCACCCCCATTTCAAACTTTTATTTATCTTTCACATTAATTTTATAGTAGTAACACTGAGTAGGTGTATAAAGGAGAAAAACTTATCTTCCTGGATGTTCACATCACTTAAGAGCCCATGCTCAGAAGAAACAATACAGCAACTCAAAGCTGCTCAAGGAACTATGCAGTGCCATCTATTTTGTCACTTAACACAACATTAACATTACAAATGTCTTTCCAAGTATTAAGTATAATATTGTGTGAAACCTAACTTAACATATTGTATCAGGGACTCCATGGTGACCAAATAATTAAACCTACTAAAGATTGCATGCTAAGCAGTTTTTGAGAAACTGCTTTTATGGAAGAAAAACTTTAAGACTGGAGAAAGCCTCAGGATTTCTTTATGGTGAGAGATGCCAGTCACAAATGAATGCTTTAGAAGTAAGTTTGTCTGATGGTCACAGTTGTTATCTGTTGCTTATTGAACCAGGGTGACCAACTTGAGATGAAACAATGACCCCATTCATTGGGTTATAAGAACTTTCCCTTTTTGGCCATTTTCTCAACGAATTATCATTAAACTTCTTGGTAGTTTCCAGAAGAAGTCCAGTGCCCCTTTTCTGTTGGTGTTTACTCACTGCTTCAATAAAGCTACATAAAAGTATATGTAGAGGGAATTTTAAAGGTTATTTGATATTCGCTGTAAACTGCTGCTGGTCATGTCAGTGATACCAACTCAGAAGTCACTAAATGTTATTAAAAGTAGCCACCAAAAGACCTATGAAATTAATTCAAATATAACACATCCTAGTTGCTGGGCAGCAAAAGATTACCATCTAAAATGTGCATCCAAAGAGGTTCAGTTTAGAGATAAGGTTTGCTTTACTTAAAATGGCATATAGCAGAGTAGCAGTGAAGGTAATGGAAGACCAAGGGATACGAGTGACTTTTGTACACTGAAGTAAAACTTAAACTCAGTAAATTGATTCCTGGCATTCAATTCTAAAAGCATTCAAGTATCATTTGACCCCTGCAGAATCTTTTTCATCCAAGCAAAGCATTTTGGAATGCCCTCCTCAACGGCACCAAGATAAAAATCAAAACAGAACAATGGCAATCTGCTTTCTTGACTAATTGTTCCAGTACTCATTTTAATTTTGTTATTTTTATTTCATGTTAAACATGCTAAAGTTGGACTACAGCTCCATAAAGAACTACCACCTCCCTCCAGGAAAAACTCCAGATGCAGTTTTTGTGTTTTTTTTAAATATGTATTGCTCATGCAGAAAAGGACTTCCAAAATATCTAACATTATTCACAACATAATCAACAAGGACGATTCCTACTACAATGGTCTCTGAAGTAAACAGCAGTGAAGTGAGCAACATACAATTTATGAACATTAAACCTCTTTTAAACAGAAAGGTGCAGCTCTCCATTAAGGCACTTGCATACGGATTCTTTTCCTCTGGGAATAAGACTTTTCGGTTTGAAAGAGCAAACTCTCCCTTCACTTGTGTACTACAAGAGTTGCAAACTGTGCCTGAAAATTTGTGAACTCCGATCTAAAAAGGGAGTTACGGACAGGGCCTTCTGTTCTGGATTTAATTATCATTTAAAAAGGTTGATTTTCAAGTGTAATTTCCTTTTGTATTTGAAGTCAGATACGCTTCCAGGAGATCTGCTTTCCATCCATACTGTTGTGCTTCAAGGTGCATCTAGATGTGCCAAAAGCAGACATTTTATGACATCCTCAAAGACCTACCACACTTGGCATATTATTTCAGAAGGGCTATTTGGCATGAGCCAAGGTGTCTCAAGGTTGTAAAATGAAGCCTGTGATTGTGTGTAACATGTTGTAAAATGTTTTGCACCCAAGTTTATAACAAATTTGTAACAGACAAGTTTGTAATATGAAGCCTGTGATGGTGATTATGGAAGGAAACAGTTATTTTGCATTACACTTCAAGAATTTTGCCATTTACAGTTTTGAATATAACACATATAGCAGCATCCTTATAAATCTGTAAAACCTCTTAAAAACTCACCTTCATTATTTTTATTATAAAAGCATTTGAAACTAGTAAACAACTTTTTGTTTTTCAAATAAAAGGTTGTAATTTTCATGTTTTGAATAATAATAATAATTAATGACCTGAGTGACATGTTATTTGCATCCTAAAGCGAAGCTGAACTTTGGCAATGAAATTTCAAATATAACATGGGATATTTCCTCTTCTGTGAGATTTTAACAACGCACTATTAAACCACACCTTGAAAGGCACTATTTATACTCAAAAGAGACAATTTTACCTTTGTCAAAACAGAAGGCTTTCTCCATTTCTGTAAACTGAAAACGGAAGAAAGTGGTATACAAATATAAAGGGGAATACTGAGATTACAATGGTTATACTTCAAACAGAAGTACTGTTCTGAATGTATTTAGAACACATCAAGAAAATGTTAAACAGTATGTAGACACCAAGTATTCAGAAGGCAAATACTAAGCAGAGTAAATATTTGAGAGCTAAAGCAAGAATCCTGGGGCGAGTTTTCAGTGTGCTTGGTGACTGTCACAAACATTCAGTCAAAAAGCTCAACATTTCAAAACTTCTCTCACACATCATGGCCAATAAAATCATGTTGTACTTTATTCAGAATAATATTTACTGAGAAATATAAATAAAAATAGAAAGCACAACAGGATATGTAATTGCAAAGAAGTTTAGGTGAACTAATCCATCAAAGAACAGATTCTGTCTTCAAACCTTTACACCCCTGTAATAAGCCTTAAGGTTGAGGAGGACCGGGTTAGAGTGCTTCTGGAGGGGCTGGACGTGTTCAAGTCAGCAGGTCCAGATGCTCTCCACCCCAGGGTGTTGAGGGAGCTAGCAGGGGTTATTGCTGGGCCCTTGGCATGGCTTTTCGAGCACTCGTGGTGCTCGGGCCAGGTGCCAGATGATTGGAAGATAGCCAATGTGGTCCCCATCTTTAAGAAAGGGAGGAGGGAGGACCCAGGCAACTATAGGCTCATCAGTCTTACCTCAATCCTGGGGAAACTCTTTGAGAAGATCATCAAGGAGCACATCTGTGATGGGCCGGCATCGGGGATGATGCTCAAGGGCAACCAGCACGGTTTCATTAGGGGCAGGTCATGTCAGACCAACCTGATTGCCTTTTACGATCAGGTCACAAAAGCATTGGATGCAGGTGTCGCCATGAATGTAGTCTTTCTGGACTTCAGCAAGGCCTTTGACACTATCAACCACCCCATCCATCCTCATTAAAAAACTGGGCAACTGTGGCACTGATGCCTACAGAGTCAGATGGATTGCAAATTGGCTGAAGGGTCGTACTCAGAGGGTGGTGGTGGATGGGTCATATTTGACCTGGGGGGAAGTCGGCAGCGGAGTCCCCCAGGGCTCGGTCCTTGGGCCCGCACTGTTCAATTTCTTTACCAGTGATTTGGACGACGGGGTGAAAAGCAACCTGTTCAAATTTTCTGATGATACCAAGATTTGGGGTGAGGTGGGCACGCTAGTAGGGAGGGAAAGACTGCAGCAAGACCTGGATAGGTTGCA